AGAATGACAACATCACAGAGGCAAGTTTGATAACATCATGGAGAAGCTCACGGCTCTCCAACGCGAGATTGAGAGACCAGTGTTGGACTGTTAAAACAGCTTTGAAATTCACATGAGCTGTTCGCACTAAAGTAAAAAGCACCATCACTTCATGCGGACACCCTTTCGGCGCTGGGCAGGATGGCTGCTGTGTTTGAGTCGGATCACTCCTCACTCACGTGGCTTGTCACGGGATCCATAATGTTGTGCTGTGGGCATTTATGCGCTTTTTTGTGCAGAGGAGTTTTGTTGTTTCCTGTTCTCATGCTGTCCTCCCAGGAGCCCAGTAGAGTAGAGGTCTCTTTTTTTCCTCTTGTACTTTCCCATTGTAGTGTACATTTCAGTGGTTTTCTGTAACGCTACCGATCTCCGACCTGTATCCCCATGTGATGTCTGTGTTGTGTGTGTAAGGTCAGGAGGGGGGTCCTATTTCACCGCAGGGCAACCTGCACGTGGCGAATAAAGCCTTGATTGATTGATTGATTGATATATTAGAATACAAATAAATAATGGAAAAGAATATACATTACACACACCAGAAGTAAATGGACATTTTATTAAATAATGCCTGCACTTATTTTTAATACCCTTTTTTGCATTTGTTTGCATATTAATTTATGTATTTTTTTGATTTAATAGTTTTTAGACAACCTAGCAGGATGTGTTAGGTTTGATTACACTCATAGGATTTGGATAAATGCGTGGTTGTTTTTGGTCTTTATGTGTAATACTTGTCAATTATAAAGGTGGTAAAGTTTCATTTCCGAGCTTGAGACTTTCTGTCAATGGTGCTGACAAAACCTCCTTCCTTCCTTCACCTTTCCTAACACCTTTTCTTTTTTCCTCTTCCTCACTCTTTCTTCTTCTCTCGGTCGTTCCTCTCTCCTTCCTCCCTACTGTCTTCATTTACCTCCTTTGCCTTCCTCCCTTCCTTCCTGCGCTTCTTCCAGACGACATAGCCGGGCCCCAGCCTGGGCCTTTCCTAGTGAGCGTCATGGGCGCCTCTCTGCAGTCTCTTCCTCTGCCTCTCCCTCCTCCTCCTCCTCCTTCCCACACTACCATCCAGCACAGTCTCAGCCTCAATGGTAAGATCTGTCCCGAGGGATGATGGGAATTGTGGTCAGAGATTAGTGACTTCCCGCTCTCATTATAATCAGCTAATGTGCGTCAGTTAGTAGTATAGACATGTTTATGTTAAAAATGCTTCATCTGGCACCTTTAACATCTCTCATATAGATGCTTTCCTACGGGCCCTTCCTCATTCCAACCCATCATCAGCTGATGGTCCACCCCCCATCAGACAGGCCCCACCCCCCATGCTGTGTGCCCTGCGGCGGTCGGAAGCCAGCAACTTCACCGCCAGTCTGAGAGAACTGGAGAAGGTAAGATGATATTGATGTATCTTCTCATTGTATGGTCAACTATACAAAGTGTAACTTCCTATAAATCCATAAAATGTACAAGGTCTTCTGTTTTTTGGGATGGCTTTACAATCTGTTTATGTAGAGGTTATTTCCAAAGGTTATTGATCAGAGAAAAGAAAAGCATAACTAAGAATGCTTCTCTGTTTTTTTTGTTTGTTTGTTTTTTTTT